AAATTAGGGCTTGATTTATTGTTTTGTTGATTGTCTAGACTTAAGAAAGTGACAGAGAAAATGTTAATAATTCAGATTAAATTTAAAAATATTTTACAGCACACTTTTTGTTTTTCTAGAGCTCCATTGTTACAATTTACCAGCAGTCTCCCACCTATTATACATGCTGAGCCTTGAATGTTTTCCAAAGATCCTATTATCTGCTTTATTTTCCCTTCCATCAAATAAGTTCTGGAGGACATAGGCCTATCAACTTTTGAATTTGCCAATTCTTAAGCACTTACTATTTGGCAGGCACTGCACTAAATGTTAGTAAGTGCTTAATAAATGCTTGTTGAATGACTACTGTACTCAGGCTCTGCTCACACAGTTCTTGAAACATGAACTGACAGATTTGCAGCAGGGTTGAGGACTTTGGAGAGAGAAGTGACATGAACATGAAAGGGGTTGGAGAAATGACTTATCAACTGGGCAATCTGCTACTCCTACAACTTCAAAAAGCAGGCAACTAGGGGTGTGTTGAAGCCAGCTCATATCATGTCTCTCAAAAAGCAATTATTAGATTTTCTTTTTTTCTTAGAAATCATATATGTATGTGTATATATAAATATATATACATATATGATAAGTGTAAATGTGGATATCTGGATTATATATTATTATGTATATATCATACAGTGTTTTTCTTTTTTTAATTTATGTAATAAAACAAGCATTAAAAATATGAACAAAAAGTCAAGGATATTAAAGGAACCAATTATTAGATTTTCAGTGCAAACATTTATACCTCAGAAATTGGCAAATGCTACAAATTAGGGCTTGATTTATTGTTTTGCTGATTTGTCTAGACTTAAGAAAGTGACAGAGAAAATGTTAATAATTCAGATTAAATTTAAAAACATTTTACAGAACACTTTTTGTTTTTCTAGAGCTCCACTGTTACAATTTACCAGCAGTCTCCCACCTATTATACATGCTGAGCCTTGAATGTTTTCCAAAGATCCTATTATCTGCTTTATTTTCCCTTCCATCAAATAAGTTCTGGAGGACATAGGCCTATCAACTTTTGAATTACATAACTGTTAGTTGAAGGAGGGAGGGGGAGAAAGAGAGAGACAGAGACAGAGAGAGAGAGACAGAGACAGAGACAAAGACAGAGAGACACAGAGAGAGGGAGAGAGAGAGACAGAGAGAAAGAGAGAGAGAGAGAAAGAGAAGGAAACGGCATATGAGGTAGGAAGACAAGATCATTTTTTTATTTAAAATAAATATCTAATCATTAATGTGGTGTGATTGCATAGACTTTAGGAAAGTTCCTTAACCCAATAAATTCTCTCCCACCTGTTTCCATTAAAGCTTCAGTGTTGACCATGTAGACCAAATATATGGGTCTGTTACCCATGTGGAAGTGGGCCTGTCATCATCTCCAGGACCTTGGCTTCCTCATTTCTAAATTAGAGGAGTTGGAACAGAAAATCTCTTTCCAGCTCTAAATCCTATGATTCTGAAGATGAAACCAATGGACCACATGACACTAAGGAAATTAGAAAGTCTAGTTGAGGAAGAAGGCCAAATTCTAGTATAGGTTATTTTATATAAATTAAATTCTATAGGTTAAATTCTAATCATGGGTCCCTCACTGACCAGAAGGGAAGACCTGAATGGAACACTGCGGTGTGAGGCTCTGAGCCCCCAGGGGATAAGCTTGAGGGCACGGAGCGTTGTTGGGGCAGAGTTGTGTTTGGGGATTGGGGGAAGGTTTCAGAATGGGGAAAGGAGTATAGGAAGGGATGGTGGGAGGAAACTCAAGTCAAGTTTTATCTGTTTCACACTTTTATTGAGAGCTTTTTATAGAATCATAGATTTGGAGCTGGAAGCCCAACTTAAACATTTAAGGATGAGGAACTGAGGCCTGGAATAGTCAAATGTCTAAGTATAGCTTGTTTCATTCTTTCTCTTTCTATTCCCAGCATCTAGCCCAGTGACTGGCCCATAACTTGCTTAAGAAATTCTTGTTGCTTAATCGATTGCTTATCCAAAGTCAGGCGGGTCTTAAGTAGCAGAGCTAGGATTCAAATCCAAATCTTCTTAGACCAAATTAAGGGTTCTTTCCACTGTATTATTTTGCTTTCAGCAGGCCCTGAATCTATTCCACTGCTTTTCAGCTGAAGAGGTAGAAAGAACTGTGCCTGTGGATAAAGTACCCTACTGTCTGATTTTTTCACCAGAGCTGAAGCACTAACTTTCTCAGTCCCTGGTTTTCTGTTAAGTAGAAATACTATCTCCAGGATACTTGGGGATGTTTCTCAAATCTGGAGAGAGGCAATCAAACTCTCGCCTTTCTTCCAAGTCATCAGGAAGGGGCAGAAGTCAGGATTCATCCTTCCCCAAATTGTGAAATGAGTGGTTTGTCTCTACACATCTTCTTCTTGAGTCATTCTCTCCCTTCTTCTTCAGTCCTCAGGGGCCATCTAATCTGATGAGCCAACACTTAACTTAATTCAATTCCACATTTATTAAGCACCTACTGTGTGCAAACCATTGTACCTTTTTGGTTGTTTTTGTCCCAACCTGAACTATGATTTCATTGGTTTCAGGAGACATCTACCAAGGCAGATCAGCAGCTGTCTGGCAACATAGTTTTAAAGAACTGTTGGGGGGGGGGGCACTAATAAATTAAATGATTTGCCCAGGTTCATACAGACAGGACATCAGAGCCTGGATGTGAATCCAGGGCATCCTGACTCCAAGGCTGACCCTCACCAGCTTTGCAAGGTTGCTTTATATCTCTTTATTGTACCATCAGGCTAAAATTAGGATCTTACAGACTTTAGAGCTAGAATAGAATTTAGATGTTTATTCCAAGTCCTCCCCTCTCCATTTTACAAATTGGAAGTTGAGGCTTAGGGGAGCGATTGTGACCTGTGGGAAGCCATACAGTCAGAAGGTAGCAGAGATGGGATTCAAATACAGGTTTTCTGATTTCAAGTATCATTTTACTTCACCATGCTACTTGTAGTACAGGGAACCTGCTTTGCTGGTAGCTCTGTGCCCAGGGGCCTTTGCCAACCCCATACTCCACCCCTTGGAGGTTTCTCTGGCCAGTTTTCCTTACCCAGCAGCTGAAATGGAAAACTGCTAGAATTAATTAACTGAATGCTTTAAAAGCAGCAGGCAGCCTAGCAAATATTAAGGCATTATTACTTAGTGTCCACTCATCCGGACCCCTGGAACTGTAGACTTAGTGGCCTAGAACTAAATTAATTAGAAAATACAAGCAGCTTGGGCAACTGCTCAATTATTCCCCTGGGTGTGAAGGGGCTCCAGAGTAGCCTGGATGCTTTGCACTGGGAGCATTTTGGCCTCCCATTGACAGCTCTGTGTCTAGTGCCTGAACTGAGGAGTTTCAGATGTGGTAGAAATGTTCCCAAGGCCATCCCTCGGGCCATTCCAAAGTGGTCTATGTAGCTCATGCTCCAGAGGCCTCACACTGGACATACATTCACATCAGCAATCAGGAATTCTGAAAATCATCTTCACCTTCCCCCCACTCTGCCTATGTATGCAGTCACCCCAGGCATTAGCTCTTTCCCTGAAGTCCAGGCCAATTCCTATTCTTCCCTTCTGCTGGTGACCAAAGGAATTTTATGCAGTATTTTAGTGTTGGTTTCCATATCAGAAGGGGCTATCATATTATCATAGATATAGAACTGAAAAGGGTATCAGAGACCATCTAGCATTGTAGGATTGTAGATTTTCAGCTTAGTTGAGTCCAACACTCTCATTTTATAGATAAGAAAAATTGAGGCCCAGGAAGGTTAAGGGATTTGCCAATAGTCTCCTGGCAAAATTAAGTAAACCAAGCTTTCTTTATTCTTTTTCTTTCTTCAAATTAGTGGTTAACACTTTCACCCTCCCCTCCCTTTCACCTCTTCCCTTTAGGGAAGAAAGAGGTCTAGTAATTATTAATAAGCTCTAAGGATCTAGAGTTTTAATGGGTTTCCCGATTAGGTGGAGTCACATAAAAACACAATTGCCTGGAGATAATGCTCCCCTCAAAGGAACAAAACTCTAATGGTAGAACATTAAGAATCAGTAAGATATGATTATAGTATGAAGTGGTAGGGTTCATGTAATCAAAAGAACATTGGACTAAGAGTAAGGGGAAAAAAGATCAAAGAATCTAGAACTGGGAGAGATCTTAGTGGTCATCCAGTCCTACCCCTTTCATTTTAGAGACTTGAATTCTAGCTTCCCATTTCTGTAGAGTAGCAGTATGATCTGGGGACTCTTTGGGATTCAGTTTCATGTGCAAAATGAGGAAGTCAGACTAGAAGATCTCTAAGGTCCTTACCAGCTCTTCAATTCTATAAGGTAGTTGGGGAAGATCTATTCAGGATCCTTCAGATTATTACATGTAGGCATCTGCTTACTTTATCAAAGAATCTACCTTACTCTAGAAAAATAAAGCCCTAAAATCAGGGGCTCTTCACCTGAGGTCCACGAAATTTCATGGGGTCCATGAGCTTGGGTGGGGAAAAAGTACATTTTATTTCAATATAACTGGTTTCCTTGGTAATCTCCTGTATTTTATTTTATGTATTTTAAAAAACATTATTCTAAGAAGGAGTCCATTATCTTCATCAGTTGGTCAAAAGAGTCCATGAAACACACACACACACACACACACACACACACACACGCACACACAGGTTAACTCTGATCTAGCCATTTAGTTCTAGACATGAAGTAATATACAGGACTTCCAAGACAACTCACTGAGTTTTTAAAAAAACAAAACAAAATATTATTTTTAATTTAATGCCAGCTCACAAAGAGGAAATATTCGTTTGTCACGTTCACACATTTGCCTTTGCTTAAAACTTCACACAGACGCATTCCCGAGGTGCTGTCAAGAGTAGAAGGATGTTCTGAAGCTTTTTCACAAAACATATGCAATAATTGCTAACTGGTAACTCAACAGTTTTCCTGGTCAACTGTTACTTCTTTTTAAATACTTGATGACACACTTGGTCTTCGCAAGTCAGCTCCTACAAATGTGAAAAATGACCAGTTAATGGGGAGCAAGCAGACTTGATTCCCATTTGGTGCCTTGGCCAGTCTGTGACCCTTGATTTTTCAGGGAGAGTTGAAGTGAGTGACCATAGGAAAAAGAGAGACTTTCAGAAGCTTTTGCTAATGTGTATTTTATGAATCCAGTGAACCAGCACACACTGCAGGGTTGTGGTGATTAGGTTCTGACTTGGGGGTTGAGCTTTTACAACTCTAAAAATGAAAAATGTATTGAAATCAAACTCTAATGGTGGGATTGCTGATACTCTGTGATTAAAACAACATGGTGTAATTTATTAGAAGTAATGAAGCAACCAAGAAGGTAGGAAATAGAGCAGGAAAAGCTTTTAAAAGTGAAGGGAGAGAGAGAAGCTGCTCAATAGAGTGATGTTCCTTCACTCCATTAGGTCTTGTGTTCGTAAGGGAGCTCAGCCCAATGTGGGAGGTAGATAATTAGAACTTTGCCCGGAGGAACTATTGGCAAATTTTGGATTTATGTTGCAGAAAGGTATTAAAGCCCTGCCTGTCAGCTGACTAGGATGTTGGTTTTGGTTTAGATAGAGGAAAATGGGCTCTATGTTACTCGTAATGACCCTTTGAAAGGATGAGGGATACGGAATCTTAGAATCCCCACAAACATTGGAGTTGAAGGAAAAATACAACCTCTTGGGGCAGAAATACTTTTGCAATGTTTTTAATATGTGGCATCCCAAAAAGAAGAGAAAAAGAGAAAAGAAAACCATTTTAGAAAACCAAAAAGGAGAAAACCATTTTAGATTTATTCCTTACTCAGCAAGCTGTGGGATACAATGCAGAGCAAATAGTACTTCTAGACCAGGAGTTGTGTAAGTCATACAAAAAATGAGGCAGCTAGGTGGTGCTGATATGGAACCAGGAAAGTTTTGAGTTCAGACTCCACCACAATGACTTACTAGCTGTTTAATCCTGGCAAGTTATTAGCCTCTCTTAGCCTTAATTTGCTTAGCTGTAAAATGGTAACAGTATACACCTGACAGAACTGTTGTGAGGATGAAATGAGATACATTGAATGTAAAGCACTTGGCCAAAACTAAAGCATTTATTATTAGTTCTTCCTTTAAGAAAATTGAACTCTGAAAGATAACATTTCAAGATTGAAATAAGAAAAAACATGTTTGGATCATACTAAACCCACTAGTTCCTTGATGGGTACAGAGAAGGCATGGTGGCACTGGCTGATTTTTGTTTATTCAATTATTGTTGATTATTGTTTATTCAATGCTTATTTTACAATCGACTTACTTTGCATCTTGTATATACATATGTGTACTATATGTGTACGTGTTCTCTTCCCCTCCCCCCAAATTCCTTGAGGACAGGGACTGTTTTTGCTTATTCTTTCTATCTCTAACATTTAGCACAGTGCCTGACATACACTAAGAACTCAATAAGTGTTTGTTGATTGGTTGAATGGTTGGAGGTTTCTTTTTGCAAATACTGCAAGAGTTTGCCTAAACTCTCCACATAGGAAAAACCAAGCAAAGAAAAAAATGCCTACTGTCTAGACTCCAACATACAGCTTAATGGACAACATATGATGCACATCCATCTTGGTGAGACAACGAAAATGGATACTGAGGCTGACTCTGAATTGTACAGGAGGATGAATAGCTTGAATGACCTTTAGGAGATCGCCCAATTCTTATGATGACCCTAAGTTTTTTCCTGAAACAAAGACCCATCTTTTCAATACCAATATTCTTTAGGTTACTGTGGAATAATATAGTCTCTGAAGAAGTGAAGTTGAGTCACCCCAAAACCCCAATAAACAATGGAGCAGCATATGTAGAACATTACATGTAAAGAATTATACAGGAGAACTGGTGAAAATGGTTGTCACCAGAGAAATGACATGACTGTAAAAAAAAGATGGATTGATCACATAGTGAGAATGAGGGATATCTGGATGGCCCAGGTGCTCCGTTGGAAATCATAGCATGGTGCTGGATCAGAGAACTTCCCATGGAGCTTGGCCCCTTCTGAGCACATATGTCCTTTAAAAAGAGGCCAGAGCTCATGTATCACTAAACATTAAATCCAATCCAAAATCCCTGCTACACAATGTTAACATGATTCAATGAATGTTCCTAGTATGTTGGGTTGACCTAGCTAAGTCAAATGTATGGAAAGATACTGATGAGGATGATAGCGAGTATTCATGTAGCACTTTACAGTTTGCAAAACACTTTGCATAGACTGTGTTGTTTTATCTTCACAACAACTCTGGAGAGTTTGTGTTATTATTAATCCCAATTTCAGTTGAAAAAACTGAGGCAGGCAGAAGTGACCTGCCCAGACTCACAAAACTACTGTCTGAGACTGGATTTGAACTTAGGTCTTCATGAATCTAGATCCAGTACTCTATCCACTGAACCATCAACCTGGATAGATGCACATGTAGGTTGTAATGTGAATCAATGGAGACAGACCAGTGCTTAACAAAGTGCTTTTCTCATAGTGTGGGGCTTAATAAATAAATACTTGCAGGATTAAAATAAATTGCTGATGGTAGAAGCTGCTTATTGGCATTATATGTTTCAAGTTTTTGATATTTTAAAACTGTTATGATAGAATTCTGGAAGACCATTAATTGGGGGAAATTTAAATGAGGCATCAAAGAGAACACGCAGGCTTAAGAACAGCAGGGCCCTGGATGTATCAGTCATCTCTATTCCACAACAAAACTGAATGTTGAAAACAGTTGAAAGGGGGAAAGAGGTAGAATGGAAGGTCCAAACCAATGTGAAGGCTTTCTAAAAGGAAATCCTTGAGTTCTTTAGCTAGTAGATAGAGGGAATTTGTATAAGGCACCTGGGCTTCTCCTATAATGATGTCTACCCTCAAGGTCACACATCTACTAGTGAGACTAGGCCCAAATGCTAACCTAGACCCACAGGTGAAAAACAAAGCTCTTCTGAAGAATATATATGTTCAAGACAGGGAAAAGTAAGAAATTAGTAAGGGCTTAGTACCCCCTAAATGGTTCCAGCAATGTCATTTTATAGCTAAGCTAAAGTCAAATTAGGATGTGAAATCTATATTTTGTCAGTTTATGTGCCATTTAAATTTAATTTGTTCTCCAAGAAAGTTCCTTTTGAGACATTCTGACATTTTCTCAGCTTAATGAAAAAGAGAAGGCTTTGTCCACACCTAGGCCAAGAGAGCCAGTGAAGCATAGTAGCCTTGAAGACCAGGCCTGGGTGGTGGAAACAGCTATACCAGTCCCTTGGATAAAATTATGGAAGTGGAAAGAACTTCAGAGAAGCAAAAGTGATGGGCCCAGTGATGGTTGTGATTGTCACTACTTTTTCACTGTCACTCAGTCTATATCAAACTCATTCAGTCTATCACATTGAATTGAAAAAAGGAGCAATTGAATTCATCAGCCAGATTCTGGATTCTCAGGATACTAGCAGCTATTTTCTACATTTTAATTTTTCCCTTACTAAACTGACTAGATGCTCTATGATGTGTAGATATAGCTTCTCTCTGACCAAGAGAATTTCAAAATTCTTACTTATAGAGTATATTTGTTTGGATTTTTTTTCAGTTGTTTTCAATCCTGTCTGACTCTTTGTGACCCTATTTGGAGTTAACCTTGGCAAAGGTACTATACTGGTTTGCCGTTTCTTTCTCTAGCTCATTTTACAGATAAGGAAATTGAGGCAAACAGGGTGAAGCCACTTGCCCAGGGTCACACAGCTAGTAAGTATCCAAGGTCAGATTTGAACTTAGAAAGATGAGTCTTCCTGACTCTAGGCCTAGCACTCTATCCATTGTGCCATGTAGCTGTACACTTGTAGACCATACATCCTTCTATATCTTATGGTGATTTCCCAACTCTTTCCTTCTTTCTAGCTCAGTTTCTAATTTGTTGCATAACTTTACATAAGTCACTTTGCTTTTGAGCCTTAGTTTCCCTCATTTGTAAAATGAGGGGGGTGCATGTGTAAGATTCTTTGTTTGTCTAAACTCTGATTCTCCTTTCTGTTCCTGTTTTTGATCTCTCTTTTCCAGACTGCAGGATACTTCTGTCGGTTCTCCTCAGACTTGCCTTAGCTCCATATTCATTTCTCTTCCCAGTTCCAGATGGTCTTTTGCAGGTTCCTTGCTCTTCTCCTTAAATCTTAGATTCCTAACTCAACATTTAAGGCTTTAAAAAGAATGCAACAGTTCACAGAGGCTGCCATCGAGATTGTTTCCTAGATTCCCTTGGGCAGGGTAGAAACAGCTTTCTGGTCTATGTGATGATGCACCTTTGGCTAGAACTCAAGATAGTAGAGTGGGGCTGTTTTTTTCTTGTTGAGGAGTCCCATTGGGTAAACACTGTGGTTTGTATTTGGAAAAATATGGGGAGAGTGAATGGAAACCAACTCTTACCAAGTGCAGTTTTCCTCCTTCAATCCAATGCTTCCACCCTCGGTTCTTCTTCTCTCCCTTCTGCACACACACGAGTTTATCCCCATCCCAGGTCACCAGACTCTGGAAGAGCCAGAAAGTCAGGATGAGAAGGCCTATGAGGACAAACTATGCAAGATGACTGCTAAAATTCCTCTAAAATATTTCAGTTATTCCTTCTTATCACTGTCTTCCTTATCTGCCAGATAAAGTTTGGACTTCAGGCACTTAAGACCCTGACATTTTAAACCTTCTTTCCTACTATCCTACTATACACAATCCAGTCAAATTGGTCTAAAAACTGTCTCTCCTATTCCCCCCTCCCTCCCACATATCAGGGATTTTATCAATTCTATCCAGTCTCTGTGCTTTTGTTCAATATTCTCCCCATATTCAATCCCTTACCTTTCCTTTCTACCTATAATGGATGCAAAGGGTCATAGAGCTAGAGATACAAGGGACCTTAGATGTCATCTTGCCCAACTTCATCTTACAGATGAGTAAACTGAGGCCCATAGAGGATAAATGATTTATCTAAGATCATAAAGGTAGTAAGCATCAAAACCAAGATTTGAACCCAAGTCAGGTGACTGTAGGTCAGCACTCTTTCTATTAGTTTACTCCTCTAAATCCTACCTGACCTTCAAGGCTCAGCTCAAGGTCTACCTTCGCCATGAGAAACATCCTCAACCATCCATCCCACCATGATGTCTCCTTTCACTGATCTGCTACCGCCCTCATTGTCAGTACCTTATCACACTGTGAGAGGAAGTGTGGCATTGTGTATAGATAACTATACCTGGAGTCGGGTTCAAATCCTCTCTCACATACTCATTAGCTGGGGGAACCTGTGTAAGTTATTTATATACTCTCTAACCTTAGTTTCCTCATCTATAAAATGTGGATAATGATAGCACCTACCTTGTAAGTTTGTTATTAGGATCAAATGAGATAATAACTATGAAGCACTTAGCAGATGTTACTGTGCTATATAATATAGATCTGGAGATGGAAGCAACCTCAGAGGATATTTAATCCAACACCTTCCTTTGACATAAAAGCAAACAGAGTCCCAGGGAGTCTCAGGTGATTGCTTAAGGTGACACAGGCAGTAAGTGCCAGGAAGGATTTGCATCCAGGATCTCTCATTCCAGAGTCATGAGGTACAACCATGGGACAACCAAGATGTGAGGCATTGTTACTATTACCACTTACATAGCATATATCATGAATCGTATTATCTTTTCACATGTTGTTATTATCTCCTCAGCTATATTGCAAGCCCCTTCAGGGAAAGAGTACATAATCGATTTTTTTTTTCATCCTCAACCCACACTCAATTACAACTCAGACCATCTAACACATTGCCTCACAAACGGTAGAATTTCTATATGTACTGGTGACTTTGCTGATTTTGTTGAAATGATATTTTATGTAAAAAATAATCTATATTATTTGAATCTCTCCAATAATAATATTCAATAATGATAGTCATTTTCAATAAGGAGACTGCCATCATTTATTATTTCAAGGATCCAAACTAGAACGGTCAGTTTTGAAGTTATTCTAACTAGAAAGTAATTGGGTATCAATGAATCACAAGAGTAACTATAACATTAATACCTTTCCTCCAATGTGAAACAGACAGTAGGAGGGAGGCTAAGAAACTCTTTTAATAACATTCAATATACCACCATTCAATTCATTTTTATATGGCACCCTTCGTCTCCCATATCATGGAACACTTGAAAGAGACTCAATTATCTTCAAAAGAGCAGATGGGAAAGGAGGTTATAAACAGAGATGGAAGTCAGAATCTTGCAGGAAGAAGATAAAGGAAAATCGTTCCAAATAGAGAGTGCACAGAGAGCTGGTTTCACACATAGTCAGAGTAGGTGACTGCCTAGATGTGCAATTTGAAGGGTTCCAGGAAAGGCATCCTTCCCCAAAATCTCTCCCCACTGTCCTGCTGGAGTGCCTAAAATCTCCACCACTAAATGTATTCATTTGTATTAAGGCAATGGAGAAAATGCACACCCTACCTGGAAAGGGAACAGATATCTAGCCATTATTCAACATTAACACCTTAGGGAAAATTAGGTCACAAGATTATCAAGTCACTTAGCAAGGTCTTGAGGGAAAGAAATAAAGGAAAATGACTATATTTGGATGGGGAATAAGATGAAGTAAAGATCTGGAACACAGAAAATTGTTTGGAGGGCAAGCATGAGTAGGGCGCTGCCATTAGGGGCCCTGGGCAGCATGGAGGCAGGCACTGAATATCTGTGCAGAAGGAGGAAAATTAAAAAGAAAGGGAATTAAAAAGATATTAAAAAGAAAGGGGAAAAGAGACACCATAACCAAATTGTTTTACTTTTCAGTTTGTCCTGGGACTGATTTTAAAGTACTTAAAAAACTGGTACTATGGAGAACAGGGTAGAAATATACTACCAATTTGTGGTTGCTGTTAAGCATGTAAATATGGATACTAGGTCCTATAGCTGTCCCCAAATACAATGTCTCTAGTTTGCTCTGTAACTTCAATATATGCTGAATGATGAAAGGAATGAGGAGAATATGGAGAAGACCATTATTGGAAGACTGGGCAAAGGTTGAGGAGATGAAGTCATTCAAATCAACCAAAAGGAGGCTGAGAGATGCTGCTACTACAACTGCGAGTGAATTGTTTGAAACAGAATCAGTGAAGATGGAGAAGGATCCAAGAAGGATAATGTTAGGTAGTGTGCTGGAGAAGAGAGCTCTCTAGACTGAAATCAAAAGACCTCAGTCTGGATCCCATCTTTGCTCTTTATTATCTTTGAAAACTTGGCAAGTCACTTAAAGTCCATGGGTCTCAGTTTCCTCATATACAAAATGAAGGGGCTGAATTGGAAGGTCTGTAAGTTTCCGGTCAGCTCTCAATGATCCCATGACTTTAGAATGCAGCAGAAGATCACTTAGGTTAGGGATAAAGAAACCCTTTCTAATAGTAACGTTTCCCAAGCACTAGAATAGGTTTAATAAGAACAACAATTTAAAAAATTCACATCTATATAGCAATCTAAGGGTTATAAAGCATTCTCTTCACAACAACCCTGTGAGGTAGGCTGTACAAGTTTCATCCCTGTTTTATAGATGAGGAAACTAAGGCTCAAAATAGTGAAATGACTTTGCCTAGGGTCACATGGCTAATAATAAGTCTTGGAAACAGGATTCAAACTCAGATGTCCTGAGTACAAGTGTAGTGTTCTTTCCAATACACTATTCTCCCCCTACAAGGAAGATTCTGAAAAAAATTTTTTTTTGAGAGAGAGAACCAAATGTCTGTCTGCAATGGTATAGCTCAGTGCTTCCCTAAAATTTTCATTTTATGACACCACTGCTCAAAGAGATGCTCTGATCTACTTCCTCTCAGGCTCTTGGTGTATATGTGTGTGTGTGTGTGTGTGTGTGTGTCTATGTATCTGTTTATCCCAGCACACACACATACACGTGCACATGCACACACATCCACACACACATTCACATTTATAAAACATCTTAAGGTTGACAATGTACTTGCCTCACAGCAAACTCTGTGAGTATGATTAAACCATGTTTTACAGATGAGGAAAATGAGGCTAAGGCATCTGTACTGATTTGCCCAGGGACATAACGCTAGTATATATTGAAACTAACATTCAACCCCAGTTCTCCTGACTCCAAACTTGGTGTTAACTTCCATTCTTTTATACTATCTATTATACAATTCATAGGACATAGATATACACACCATTTAAGCAACCAGTTACTCAGACTCCATATGTGTAAGGTCAGTCCTGTCAATACCATGTAAAACTATTTCTTCATTCTCTCCCTCCCATATTCTTTGTGCCTAGATGTATGCATGTGTTCTGTGTGGCATGGTGGATAGAGTGCTGGGCTCATAAGCATGAAGACCTGGGTTCAAATCCCACTTCTGACACTTAAATCTATATAGGATCATAGCTTTAGAGCTGGGATGGACCTCTGAGGGCATTTAGTCCAACTTCCTCATTTTGCAGATGAGGATACTAAGGCTTAGAGAGGTCACATGACTTGCCCATGGTCACACAACTAATAGGTACCTTAGGTCAAATTTGATCCTAGGTCTTCCTACCACCAAGTCCAGCACTTTCTCCACTACACCAAACACCTCAATATGATGCTACTGAGCAAGTCACTTAACCTTCATGTGCCTCAAGCAACTCCCTAATACTTGTCAACTAATCATGTTCATACAATGTCTCATCAGGCAATGTATTTCAGTGGATAGAGAGCTGGGCTCAAAATCAGGAAAATCTAGACTTGACCTCTCAGTGACCCCAAGCAAATCTCTAACACACAAGTTGCAGAACAGTTGGTAGAGTTCCCTCAGTGGTACTTTCCTACAACAAAATCATCAGTATGATTAAAAATAATACATAATAATTCTGCATTATATAAACATATAATATAATTTTATATGTTATATTTAATGTATATGCATTTATATATACATGTATGTATATATTGGAGAAAGAAATGGCAAGCCACTCCAATATCTTTGACTGGAAAACCTCATGGACGTAGTCCATGGGGTTATGAAGGGTTGGAAATGATTGAGCAACTAAACAGCAACAAATGTGTATATACTCATAGATATACATACATGTATATATATACATATGCATGTGTGTGTGTGTGTGTGTACACACAGGTATACATAGAAGTATACTACTCCACTCCCAAGTTGGAGAATCTATTTTTGAAATAAAGAGGTTTATTACATCCTTGAGGATCCTTTCAGGCAGAGTACTCTGATAAAATGGATAAAAGTGGATGGGGAATGGTGGTAGGTAGAATCCAGACCTTTGCCCAGGGGCTCTTGGAGAATCCTACACATCCCATCTTGTCTCTAACTTAGCTTCCCTCACCCTCATTCCTTTTTCTGGTTGTTGTAGCCAAAATTGAGGAGATACTGCAAAGGGGATTTCATATGTTTGACAGGATTAGCAGTTGATATTGAGGGTAGACAAGATTTGAAGGGAAGAGAGTATTAAGGACTAAGGAAGAGGCAGGATGGCTATGAACAGATAGGATACTCTCACCATCAGGAAAAAGTTTGGGAAAATTGATTATTCTGAGAGAAATGAAGAGTCTCTGTGCCATAAGAGGTCATAAAAGAGTAAGGCTAGAGGACTGGCCTGATTTCTAGTGAGCAGACAACCAGATCTGAAGAGGAATAGAAGTGAATTAAATGATGTACAATATTCATTTTGAGCTGACATTGGAACAGAAGAATGATGCAAATATGCTGACAAGTTTTGGCATTAGTTCTGATTTCTGATGAATTAGCTTTCAGTCTTTGTAACACAGTAACTCTTCACCTATCCTACATCATAGGAAAATAATGTTTCTTACAGAAGGGAATTCTCAAAAAAAAAAAAAAAAGGAAAAAAGGAAGGTTACGCTTTTTTGTTTGTTTGTTTTAGCCTTCTTAAACAGAACCCACTAAACAAAATAGAGGTTTTCCTTGATGACTCAGGATCTCATCTCTTGTGTTTTAGCAAAAGCAAACTCCCATGTTTGGCACATCCTTCCTCCTCACCTACACCTGTTAGAAGCATTAGGTTCCTTCAACTCTCAGCTTAGATGTTCCCTCCTAGTTGTGTACTCTCCCTCCTGGAATCACTTTATGTTACTTTTTGTCTCCTTTGTACTTGTATACATGTATATCCTCCTAATAATATAATATATTAACATCATAATATTATATTAATGATATAATAATAACATACTCCTGCAAGGGAGGGACTGTTTCATTTTTGTCTTTGTAACCTCTGGGCCTTGCATGTAGTAGGTACTTAACAAAGATTTGTTGAATCACAGTGGATCTCAGTCATTTTTCCATGTTGTACATAGTATTATATGATGCCTTCTGGGACTTTTAAGATGCATAGAGACATTTACTACTGTAGCAAATGAATGGCCTTAGACTGCTGTGTTTTTATATTTCATTTCCTGTCCCTTCCCCATGCTGTACCATGTTGTTGCATACTTTATATGACCATGTTTTACACACGATCATATGGGTAAAGTCCTGTGGGAAGCTCTGCCTCACCTACAGTGAAAAGGGTAAGGACTTTATTACCATTATATGCCATTCTGAGACTTTCTTTGGCTATTTGAATTATTTTGAGGATCTCAGCTCTGATGGCAGAAAACACTTCTAATCTGTCCTTGGAATAAGTAGCTAATTTATTTATAGATATGTACATATACACATATGCATATATATGTATTAATACATACATATACCTACATAATGATACTAATAATATAAGAGCATATATACATATATACATGTATATACATACATATATTTGTGCATATACGTGTGTATAGAGATAGATACATATTTCTTGTTGTCTTTCTTCAGTTGTGTCCCATTCTTCCTGATCCCATGTGAAGTTTTCTTGACAAAGATACTGTAGTACTTTGCCATTTCCTTCTCCAGCTCATTTTACAGATGAGGAAACTGAGGCAAACAGTATTGTGTGACTTGCCCAGGGTCATACAGCTAGTAAGTGTCTGAGGCCAGATTTGAACCCAGGAACATGAGTCTTCCTGATTCCAGGCCCAATGCTCTATCCATTGCCACCTTGCTACTTACTATATGCTAGACACTGTGCTAAGAGCTTTATAGTTTTTATTTCATTTGATTCTCACAACCCTGTGATGTAGGAACTGTCATTATCCCTATTTTATGGATGAGAAAACACTTGCCCAGGGTCACATAGTAAGTGTCTGAGGCTAGATTTGAACTCAGGTCTTCCTGATTCCAGGCCCCGCACTCTACCCACTGCATCCCCTAGTTACTATATATATATGTGTGTGTATTGTGCATGTATATGTATACACGTATATGTATATGTTTGTGTATATGCATAGATAGATACATACACACACGCATATATATGCACACATGTATATGCACACATGTATTTCTAAAATCTAAAAATAATTTGGGAACTTAGAGCCTGCTTTTTAATATATGACCCATTTTTGCAAGGGCAACACAGTTCATTCATAGCAAAAAGGGAGCGCTTCATCCTCCTCTGTTCGTTGCTAGCTAGCATCATAAAGCTCTGCTTCCTTCACCCCCAGCTCTTCTAATTGCTCATGTTATTTTTCCATCATGTACCAGAATAGCTTGCCCTTGTATTAAATGCTGTGTGAAATGCAAAATCAAAGCCCAGGCTAGTACCTTAACATGTCTATCATCCAGTCCTTTAGTGTACTCATCAAATTCAACTCCAACAATGAAATCCACTTCATAGTTCTGGAATGAGCTAGTTGTTTTTCCCTTGAAGTTATCACCATCTTGAATGATTGTCTTTGTCTGAATTAGGTGCTTGGCAATCTTGCGGGTGGCAAAATCAATATCTGTTGGCAAAGGGAGTAATTGAGTTTATGATGGTCTAAGCTAGACCCATTCATTTCTTTAACAAGACCAAACAGTCAACATCTATGAGATAAAGATCTTAGTCAGGCAACTTTCCATTATTTATATGTTAATTAAGAACTGTGCTTTACGTAAAGGGGTGGGGGATGGTGGGAGTGGAGATAAACTCTACTTTCTCAATGTCTAGAATGGGGAGTGAATTTCCTGCAGCAGGGAACAAGAAGTTCACCAATTCTGTTTCTCCTAACACATCCATTCTGAAGCGAATTGGATGGGGTTTTTTTTGTTTGTTTTTGTAGTATATTTTTCTTTTTCTTTTTTTTTAATTTTTAGGCAGTTGGGGTTAAGTGACTTGCCCAGAGTCACACAGCTAGTGTCAAGTGTTTGGTCTGAGGCCTAATTTGAACTCAGGTCCTCCTGATTTCAGGGCCAGTGCTCTATCTGCTGTGCTACCTAGCTGCCCCCAAATTGGATGTTTTGCATGAAATAGTGAACAAAGGGAGCTCAGGGCCAGGAAGACCAAGATTCAAGCCTTGCTTCTGACATATACTGGCTGTGTGACTCTGAGCAAGTACTTGAACCTCTCAGTGCTCTAGGTAATTCTAAGATTTAGAGAAGGTGTCAGCCTGCATTGGTAAAAGGAGTTTCCTCACCTGAGAGTTTCCAGTACCAATGAAATCAAAGATCCAGTATTTCCTCAGAGTCTTGCACATAGTAAGCACTTAAATGTTTTACTTATCTTCTCTCTCTGACTCTGTCTCTTCTCTGCCTCTCTTCTCTCTGTCTCTCTCACTCTCTTCTCTGATTCTGTTTCTCTGTCTGTCTGTGCCTCACCAATTTAGTGAAGATGTTCTGCATTGTTTGTTGTTGTTGTTGTTGTTTTGTTTTTTGGAGAGGCAAGTGGGGTTAAGTGACTTGCCCAGGGTCACACAGCTAGTAAGCCTCAAGTGTCTGGTCTGAGACCAGATTTGAACTCGGGCTTCAGGGTGGTGCTCTAACCACTGCGCCACCTAAGTGCCCCAATGTTTTGCATTGTTAATAGATCATTTTGCCAGTAGCACACATAGTAGGCACTGAATAATTAGTTTATTTATGTAGTGGTGATTCTTAGTAAATGAAAGTATATTTGCATTTCCAAAAGTAGGTATAATATCTATAGGTCTTGCAATTTATATTAGGGAGTCAAGTTAGCCCAGAACTTAGGCCAATTATCCCTCATCATAATAAAGCTTTATTTATTTTATTTATTCCCCCACCCCAGAGCTGTCATTAATTAGTCAATCACTCTATAAGCATTTATTAAATACCTGCTAGATGCCAGACATTGTGCTAAGTACTGGAAATACAAAGAAAGGAAAAAGATAGTCCCTGCCCTCATGAGGTTGTAATCTAATGGAGGAGAGGACATGAAAAGAATTGTACAAACAAGTTATGCACAGTATAAGTAGGAAATAATCAATAGAAGAAAGGAAGACACTAGAATTAAGGCTTTCTGTAGAAGGTAAGATTTTAGCTGGGACTTGAAGAAAGCCAGGAAAGCCCAGAAGGCAGAGATGAGGAGGGAAAACATTCCAGGCATGAGGGACAACCAGTGAAAATGCTGGCAGCTGAGAGATAGAGTGTTTTGTTTTAGGAACAGCAAGGTGGCCAATATTCCCATTAGAAATAGAGGATAGTTTATAAGTTGTTTATTATTCTTCCCTTGCTGTAGATTTAGTTAGAATTTGGTCTCTAGCCAAATATAGCTATTTAGTCATATTTGCTATAGTAAATAATAAAACACATATAAATATAGACTATATGAATGAATTGTTCAAGAATACTTAACTAACACATAAACCCTCTATGCTTTCTTAAAAATATCTGCCTAGCAGTGTCTCATTTTTTTAAGCACTAGGACTAACTATACAGTATAAACAATAATGATTATGATAAAAATAAGATGAGTTTGAATTTTTAAAGTTATTTTTCTCTGAGAAACTAGAATACTATACCAATATCCTCTTATTAAACATTACTATGTTTCATCTGGTAATAGATAAAATATTATCATATCTATTTTAGAGATTGAGAAACTGAGGAAATAGTTTAACATCATTTCATGCAACTCTGTGTAGTTCTGACAACAAAATATTCCTCATCATCTTTCTTTGTTTCACCTTCCATTATTCCTTTACATCAAATTATTTACTCTTTTTCTTAGTTTCAGATGATCATAGAATTTTGAGCTGCAAGGAGCCTGAGAGATCATTGAGTCTAACCAATTAATAAAAAAAATTCTTTTTTTTAATATTCTTTAAGGTGAGAAAACTAAGATGAAATAACTTGGCTAAGTTCACACAAGTAGTGAGTGGAAGAAATTAATTTGATCCCAAGACCTCTGACTGTATACCAATTGTGTTTTCTTGGATAACTTCGGTAAAGCTGGAAGAAACCTCAGATATCAGGTAGTCATTCTCTGCATTTTTTTTTGTTCAGTTATTTTCAGTCATGTCTGACTCTTCACGACTCCATGTGAAGTTTTCTTGACAAAGATACTGTAGTACTTTGCCATTTCCTTCTCCAGCTCATTTTACAGATGAGGAAACTGAGGCAAGCAAAGCTAAGTGACTTGTCCAGGGTCATACAGCTAGTGTCTGAGGCCAGATAGGAACTTAGGTCTTCTTGACTCCAGGCCCAGTACTCTATCCACTATGCTACCTAATTGCCCCCTCTTCATTTTATAGATGAGAAAATGGAGGCTCAGAGAGGTTATTTCCCCAAACTGGAAGACAAGGTAGTAAATGGTAGAGCTCAAATTAGATCCCAGGTCTTCCATCTCCAAGTCTAGGGTTGATTGCATTGAACCTCATTTCCTCATGTTGGGGGATAATAAAAGCAAGGAATAGAAAGGGTAGGTCATACAAACAATTGTAAAGGTCTTGAATGCCAGGGTATTCTGTAGACAATGATGAGCTAGTGAAAATTTTAAGTAGGGTTGTAACATGATAATTGTCCTACTGGAAGATGATTAATCTGGTCATGATATAGGATGGATTTGTAGAACAAGAAACTGAAAGTAGGGAGACAAGTTAGAGGGTGAGTCTAATAGTTCTGAGGTGAAATAGATGAGTCTAAACTAGGTTGGTAGAAACAAGAATGGAAAGGGAATGACAGATTGGAGAGATATGGCATCATGGAAAACCATATCTCTAAAGCCCTCATTTTATGTATCTAAAAACTGAAGATCAGATAAACTAAGTAACCTGTTGAAGGTCAACCAGGAAGAATGGACAGGACTTGGTAACTGGTTGGATAAAGCAGAAAAAGCCAAGGGTAAAAGATGACTTGGGTTTTATGCCTGGATTCTCTTACTCAGGAAAATGATAGTATAATGGACAGGACAAGGAAGTCAAAAGAAAGAACAGGCTTTGTTGGAAAGATGGTCAGCATGATAGGAGACACATTAAGTTTTAGGTGATAGAGAAATGTTTATTCTGGAATACCTGGCAAACAGAGAAGTGTAACTAGAGCCCAGAGAATGACCAGGGCTAGGAGACGGGACTGGTGAGAAGAGCAGAACTGGAGAAACTTGTCATCCTAAATATCTGATGATTATTTATTAAGGAACTCTAGAAACATTTAAGGAAATGTCTCTGATGTTTGAGATTAAGGTTAGAGAAAATTACTTTGTCCTTGGTGGTAGGAGCAATATATACATTTAGGCTAGGCTAGTTTTTCTGTGAGAGGTATTGAAACTATCATCAAGACTTATATGGTTTAGATTGTCTTAGGAAAGAATAATTAGGTATACACAAATATACAGAAATATGCTACAGAATAAGGTGAGACTTTTCCTCCAATCTACTGAATGTCATGCCTATCATTATTATTTGTTATCAAAATAAAAGCCATAAAATTATTGGTGGCTTATGGCACGTATTCTCTGCTAGGCTCATATACCATCCAGCCACAATTGGGGGCATCTTTATCTGAATAGTAATCACCTTGGTGACATCTAAGAAAAGATGATCAGAAAAAAATATTGTGTGTGACAGTGGAGGGGTGAAGAGTAGTAATGAAACATCCTAGGAAGCACTTCAATAAACCCAAATGATTAATATCGGATGGAGACATTGGTAAGGAGTCTCTATTAGTAACACATGGAATAGCGATGTCAGGCTACCAATGCCAGCTGGGACCATTGATATAGCTTCCTGGTAGCGTAAATGCAAAAAGCCAGGACAAGAGGAGTCAGTAGCTCATCCCTCAGGCTCCTGATCAGCAGACTAAGATGGCTACATGAAAGAATGGTGTATCCTTTTTGAATATCCTTTCTTTGCTGTGGCAAAGTAAACGTCCTCTTGTTAATGGTTAGGTGATCTACAAGTGGATAGAGCACCAGGCCTGGAATCAGGAGGACCCAAGTTCAAATCATTCCTTAGACACTTACTAGCTGTATAACCTTAGGCAAATCACTTAACCCTGTTTGGCTCAGTTTCCACATCTGTAAAATGAACTGGAGAAGGAAATGGCAAACCACTCTAATACTCTTGCCAAGAAAACCCAAAGTGGAGTTGGACATGACTGAAAAATGACTAAACAACAAGATCTACAAGTGTCTTATTTCATTCCAATTTTTAACTGAAACAACAGACTAGCTCCCATCAGGCCTGACCTACAACATTTTCCCACCATAAATATGTTGATTCTCCCATAAGAAACCATATCATAGGCTGGCTGGACCATAGCTCTGATTCCATTGGATCTTCTAACACTACAGCTTTAGAATAGTTCTGGAGAAGTTTTGGAATTATTCTTGAACAGTAACTGGATTTGTTCTACTCTTAAATGTGTTGAAACTGAAAGATACACTGTCTCGGTTCATGTACCTCCTCTGTCTCTTTGAGATATGAGTGTCTTTATTATGTGTCCCTTGCCCCATTGCCACAGGGACTTCTGTGACCTAGCTGAATTGCAATTCTACTTATTTGGACGTTTA